AGTTTCAATACTCATCCACTTTCTTCCCTCTCTGTATGCCAGGGACGCTACCAGTTTTACCTAGAGATACTGGGAATTGAACCTGGCACTGTCTAAGTTACAACCTTTCCCCAATGCTCAACTAGATGCTGAGTTAGTGGCCTGACTCATCTGTGCTTCTTCCTAGGTTCCTTTCCTTTAAAATAAAAGCCTGAAGAAACAAGGCAACTGCACTGTGTCACATTTATCCCTTGGGGGCAAATTGAAACAGAAGAGAATTGTAATAAGCTGCAAACGAAATTCTGTCTCTCTTTCTGGAATGGGGCAGGAATAGTTTCAGATGCCTGGAGTTGTGATGCTGGTGAGATGAGAATTAGTGACATTTAGAATTAGACTTACAGCCCTCCCGAGGACAAACTTCCTTGGACCAATTATAGAAACCTCCTTTTATTCCTTTGAGGCCTGAACAGATTTTCTGTACAGTATAAGCTATTAAATCCCCATGTAAAGATGGGAATTTTGCTAAAATAGCCTTGCATCCTTCGTTTGCTAATTCATATTTTGCCCTGGCTGGTACCCCAATGATATAATTATTCACCTTCTCTCCCACCCTATATTCTATGCAATGGTCACTGTCATTAATAGCAGCAAGGATGTCTCTTAATAACACAATGAACATCACCCTGAATTGAAGTTGTTCAAACCCGTTTCACTTAAACATTCATCCCTTGCATAACCCCTGTTTTAAAACAGCTGCACAGTTTGTTTCTAGGCCCAATTCAAAGTGTTCACAGCGCAAAAAACCCCCGGCTAGCCCCTTCGTAGCTATGACACTGTTTAAAGTCTTAAAGTAACTTAGGCCCAAAATATCTGAAAGATCACGTCATTCTCTACAGACCCTCTTGGGTGTTAAAACTGGCAGAGGGGGCCCTCTTGGTAGTTGTGCCACCCTAAATAAATATGTTGGGGAGGGTGGCAGCCTGAGAGAGTGACAGCCCTTAAGCTGTGGAATAGCCTTCCCACAGATGTACATCCATTGTATAGTTTTCATCAAATGCTAATGACACGCCTTTTCACCCTAAGCTTTGACATCCGTCGTGCATATTTCTGGACTCATTCCAAAAGGAATTGGAATTTTCACGAATCTTCCGACATTCAGCTTCACTGGAGTTCTGGTGTACACACACACGGATGCCATATGAAGGGTTTCTAACAGCCACTCTTACCAGGAGCACCTTCCCAACATCTCTAAATGAATACATATTTTCTGAGCCTTTTCCAGCTGTTGTTCCTGATGCATTTTCCATTATATGCAGAAGGGCATTTCTTATTAAAACCTCATTTGATTCACTTTGCATCCCCTATATTGTTATGCTGGGGCAGGGGGCGGGTGGGAATGATTTAACAGCAAGGGACTCATAGCGCTGAAGGACAATTTGATGTCAAAACATTATTTATAAATCACATTATGGAAGGCCAATATGGTTTGCAAACTGTTCGTGACTCGCCATTTATAATGTTAGGCAGCTCTATCTCTAGAAAGCACCTCAAAACAGGGGCGCTCACGTGGCTGTAATTGCTTTGCAAAAGAATAGAACTGCAGTAGACTGAAGGCTTGGAATAAAATTACAACAAAACTCTTCTCCCCACACCACCCTGCAAATAGTATAGTAGGAAAGCTTATTAAGACTGCTTGGGTGGTTTTAAAAGAGAACATGTAACAATATTGTCTGTTCTGAACACTTCCTAAAACAGAAGCTGAACATGAAAAATGAACGGCTGATCACAAACAAGCTTTCCAAACACCCAAATCAGCCCTAGGCATGCACCCATCAAATGATCACTGAGGAGACTCTTACATGTCAGGATTGTGATCTAGGATCAGGGCACCACGGCTTGGAGGCCAGCTCTGTACCTCCTCAATGTTCCTTATTTGTAAAGCGTGAGAAAGGAACCTCCAGTCTTTGGGCCAAATTTGGCCAAGCACAGGTCTTGATTGGCCTCCAAGACTGCTTCACACCCACCAGCCCCACACCTGACGTCCTATGTGAGGTCATGTGTGGGGCACCTACAGATGTAGGTGGATGGGCTGCACAAATGAGTTCCTACATGCAGCTGATCCCTGCAGAAAGCAGGGGCGAAGTCTCCGCCAACAGCTGATTCAGGGAGAGAGATTGTCCCGATCCAGGCCATAATGTCTCAAGGAGCTTGGCAGATACTCATTTCTTAAGTTTTCTGTCAAGAAGAAAATGTATACACAGGGAGACTAAGCTGCCACTGCAAGCAGGAATAACAAGCGTGCTCCTTCCAAACATATAAAGTATTTGCAGTCTGCCTTCCCCACTGCTGCATCTGTCACTGTTGTGGCATTTTTTAAAAAAGTAAATGAAGATCACCGACAGGAGAGATGCTCTATGTGTTTTCTCTGATTTGATAATTTGACATGATTTTGCTGATCTCATTTCATGCGGTGCCTGCTTAGGTTTGTCAAACCAACAACAGAGGAATAAGCCCAGGACAGCTTAGCAGCTGAGAAGTGAACCATAACAATTCATGCTTTTGTGTGCATGCCTTCCACCTGCTTAATGGACTTTGACGAAAAACACACACCTCTTTTCATCCTATTAACTTTTTTTTCTATCCAAAGCCACTATAACCCCTTGCCTTAGTGCCAACACTAAGCTTTTCACACTTTCTATGGAAAATCCTCATTTAGAGCAAAAGTAGACTACTGTAATGCAGTATATGTGGAGCTACCCTTGTGTCTGGTGTGGAAGCTGCAGCTAGTGCAAAACTCTGTTGCTATGGTGCTTAATAGGAAGACATTCTACTTTACACATATTATGCTGGTGTTGAAAAATATGCACGGGCTGTCTATTAGCTGCTGAGCCAAACACAAGCTTTTGTTTCTGACATTTAAGGCCCTGAATAACTTAGGAGCATGATACCTAGCAGACCACATTTGCAGTACAGTGGTACTTCTAGTTACGAACTTAATTCGTTCCGGAGGTCTGTTCTTAACCTGAAACTGTTCTTAACTAGAGGCATGCTTTCGCTAATGGGGCCTCTTGCTGCCGCTGCACGACTGGCACACAATTTCCGTTCTCATCCTGGGGCAAAGTTCTCAACTTGAGGTAACTCTTCCAGGTTAGCGGAGTTTGTAACTCGAGGTACCACTGTATAGACCAAGATGATATTTAAGATCTTCAAAGGAAAACATGCTGGCTGTTCCATGATGCTGACTTGGTGACAATGCAGAAGAAGCAGGCCTTCTCAGTGACAGCCCTGAAGCTTTCATGGACCCTGACTGTTAGGTTTTATTATTGTTTTGCACACTGTCCAGTTTTATTTCTTATATAAAGTTACATTTTGCTGTCATCTTGTTCTGAGGAAATTGCTGATAAGGCCTTATACAAACAGGAAGCCAGGTGTGCACTCACAAACACTCACAATACCCATGCAACATCCCTCACATGTTCAAAATGCAACTTTAGCACCTAGCAAGGCCACAGGTCCCTGATGCTAAAGGTACAGGCCAAATGGGGCAACTCTGTTGAAAGGAATATCCTGGTACACGAAGCACAGTATGACTAGCTTTTGTGTGTGCTGATTGGGTATCCCATCAGAATAATTTAGAGTCAACATGAAGCCACAATCAGTTATAGCTCTGATGAACCTGTAGGATACACCTGTTCCCCAATAGCTGTTTGTCCCATTCACTGTTTACATTTTTACAGGCAAGGTTAAAAAATCTGGATCAGTGCCTGGTTTGAGGATGTCCTGGGCAAAGTGCCCACAGCTGTTTTCTGATAGGAACCTAAGAAAAGCCTTGCTAGGTCAGGTCAAAGGCCCATCTAATCCGGAATCCTGTTCTCAAGGTAGCCAAAGATGCCTATGGTGTGCATGCATATTGCCTCTGAAAGTGCAGGCAGAACCACAGGAATTGTTGCTAGTAGCCATGGATAGTCAAATTCATGGGGAATCAGGCTAATCCTCTTTCAAAGCCATCCAGGTTGGTGGCCATCACTACATGTTGTGGAAATGTATCCCAATGGGCTGTTGTGAAGTACTTTATTTTTGTCTGCCCTGAAGCTCCCAAACATCCAGTTCCACTGTATAGCACCAGTTCTGAATATTACGAGAGGGAAGAAAAAAACTGCTGCCTACGTGCTTTCATCACACCTTATTCATAATCTCTATCATGTCATCCCTCAGCCACACACTGCTGGTGCCCCTGCTCAAACAAGTGTGCCAGGTGGAGGTGCACAGCAGCAAACAGTGTCAGGGACAGGTGGTGGTAAGCAGCAGCAGAGGGGTGGGTGATGACAGACAGAACTGATAGATTGCAGCCGCTCCAGCCTCCTATTCTGCCAACCCTGGTACTGGCAAGCATCCACTCAAACTACAACAGCCATGTATTCTACCACATTGATGACAGTCCTTTGCCGGAAAGTGTCCTGCAGTTGGAAGGGCTGTCTGGTCTGTGAGCAGTTGGAAGATAAAAAAGCCCAAAGTAGGGAGAGCAGGAGGGGACTTGAATTTGCCCATCAGCAGTGAGCACTGGGCGAGAGCTGGGAGGTTTCACTCTTCTGAGTGTGGAATAAGGGTTAAGGTATAATTGTGATAAGCCATCCTCAGATCTTGAATGATGAAAGGTGGTTCAGAACTTGAATAAATAAAATTTGAAAAGAGAGAAATAATAATAATACCTCAAATCTCTTTAACATTATTATTATTATCTTCTCCTGCTTCTTTTCTTTTTCTTTTCTCTATTTCTCTCTCTCTACCATTTTGGTTTCTTCCCCATCTATCTCTCTTAGATTGGTTTGGCTTTTATTGTATTCTATGTTGAAAACTTTCAATAAAAATTGAATGAATATATATATGCACCTAGGCAGCAAAAGAACACAGGAAGCTGCCTTGTGCAGAGTCAGGCCACTGGTCCATTCAGCTCAGTATCGTTTACCCTGGCTGAAAGTGGCTTTCCAGGATTTTTGACAAGGGGCATTCCCAGCCCTACCTGGGGTTGCCAGGGATTGAACCTGGGACTTGACTTCTGAATCAAAAGCATATGCTCCAGCACTGAGCTATGACCATTCCCTAAAGCCGACTGAGTAGGCACATAGGTCTCCTATTCACAGTGTTCCTGACTATACATAGGAATGTAGGAAACTACCTTAATACAGACTCAGATCACAACTGACTGGCTGCGATTCTTTAGGGTTTCAGGCATGAGTCTCTCCCAGCCCTGTCTGGAGATGGTGGGGTTAGAACCTGGAATTTGCAGAAATCTATGTCCTATTTTTGGGGGCAATATACAAGTTGTCTCCCTAGGTCAGGCAGCTACAGCTGCCACTGTCTTCATTTTCTCAAAATGCACCTGGGGACTGATGACGTTAGATTGGAAGTGGAGATCAGAGGCATCAAGGATGGAAGTTGTATCTACCTGGCTTGGTGCTCCTCAATACCAGGCCATAATTTTTATTTTAAAAAGGTGAATGCTAGGGTCAGCTGCAGTGGGCCCTGGCATTTTTACCAGAGATGCCAAGTATCTGTCTGTCTATTTGTCTGAATTATTGGAAGTCTGGAACAATCCCAAAGCAGATTTTGAACAGCGTGCCCAGTGGTCTTATTTTGGGGAAGCTATCCTGGATATAACATAAATGATTTCCATGATCTCTCCTAACAGCCTTCCGTTTTGCAAAATCTTTTATGCTTCTCAGTAGGGGGAAAGCTGCACATTCAGAAAGGCAGCCCTCCTGCCAGCCATGCAAGTCTCAAAGGGCCATGGATAGTGTACAAAATTTTCCTGTAAATCCAGCTAACATACACTTATAAAAACCTTTGCAGGAAAGCAGTGATGATTACTCAGCCTGCACTGGAAATAACTCAGGGTTGTTATTTGCAAACACATACATAAATAATAAAGAAAATTAAGACATCTTGCTCTTGAATTGGTTTCCTTAAGGGCTGCGATATCACAACATTTACCGTTTTGCACATGCATTTATAGAAAATAATGCCCACTACGAGTTAACCCACTGTGTCCAATTTGGTAAAACAACACTAGTACAGCAATGGCACCTACCACTTAAGAGATATTCATATGCCCATAGTGGAATCAGAACTCACAGAAACTAAAAGTCTGTGCAGTTCTGCAAGTCCTGGTGCCTGGCTCCACATAGCAGAGAGCCTGGTTTGTTCCCTGCATGTGATAGTGGAGAGGAGGGCGCTAGCCTAGTCCCCGGGCCCACCGGCTTCAACTGGCTACCATGTTGCCTGGGCAGGCCTTACTTCCAGGAACCAATCAGCAGTACTGCTTGGCTCTTGGGAAGAAGGACATAGAGAACATGCTCCCTCTGGTCTGGCAATCCAGGCAAAACCAACAAGCAAAGGTCTGTACATGCCTACAATTCCAAGCTGAAAGGAGGCACCACTACGAACAGATACCCCTAAGTGCTGATGGGGAAATGTCCTAGTACAAACTCGTAGTTTAGAAGATGGTAATAATAACAACAACGATAATGACAACAACAGCAAGAAGAGTTTTCAAAATTAGTTAAATGTTGCAAAGTTTGATTATTTTTTTAAAAGTGTTTTTCCTTTCTAGTCTTCTCAACAGCTCACATCTGTTTCAAAATTGCAGCCTCCCCACCAGGGCTTTTCTTCAGTCTGAGCTGAAGGCAGAGTGGGCAGCAGTGCTGTTTTTCTTAAAAAGAGATGCTAGAGCTCACCATGAACTTCTCCTGTGTTCTCTTAGAATAGCAATGGTGCCCATCTGCCCCCACCCCCAGGGAGCCAAAGCCTCTTCTTCCTCCTCCTCCAGCTAAGTGTCCTCTGATGTCATCTTTAGCACGCTATCTGTAGGAGGTAATTTAAAGTGCTAATAACTTGCTGCTCTTCTTTACTTGGGATGAATGTGGGCAACCCCTGCGCTCTGTTTTTTTCTTTTAATCTCCCATTTTGATTTTTCTTTAAGCGACGACAAGAATCACAATCTTTGCTGATTTATTCAAGTGTAATAATTGCATGAAGAGTGTGACGCCAGGAAGGATCTCTCATTTCCAAACCTATTTGTGGTTTGTGCTATTTGTCTCTCTGCACAAGGCACTGAGTGACCGAGGCAAACTAGAAACAAATGTATTAATTTCATGACTAATTCATTGCAGAGAACATCAGTGTGCTTGTGCAGACCTGACAAAGCAGCATGGCAGCATTAATTTTGCAAACCAAACTCTGTTTGCAACAGTCAGAACAGCAGGAAGGGTTCATTGGAACAACTATGTGAATTGCCAGCAAGTCCCCACTCGTTGGTATTTAATCCTTTCATGACTTGCGCCCACTGCAGATATAGCAAAAGCCTTCCAGCAAATCATACACTGCAATTTTGAGGCCAGTTTTTCTTGCATGGATGCACACTCCTAAGAACATAAGAAGCTCCCTGCTGGAACATACCAAAGGGGTCATAAGAACATAAGAAGAGACATGCTGAATGAGGCCAACGCTCATCCAGTCCAGCATCCTGATCTCACAGTGGCCAATCAGCTGCCTAAAAATTATTTGATTACAGTGGTACCTTGGTTCTCAAATGTAATCCGTTCTGCGAGTCCGTTCGACTCCTGAAACCATTTGAAAACCAAGGCGCTGCTTCCGATTGGCTGCAGGAGCTTCCTGCATTCAACTGGAAGCTGTGGAAGCCGCGTCAGACATTCGGCTTCCGAAAAGTGTTTGCAAACCGGAACACATGCTTCCGGGTTTGCGGAGTTCAGGAGCCAAGCTGTTCGAGTACCAAGGTACCACTGTATTTGCATTTAAAAATACAATTCACACAGCTGGAAGCATTAGGAGCTTCAAGCAAAGGGACCCAGATAAGTTAAAGCAAGAGTTTATGTAAGTCAAGTACACAATGCAACTACACAATCACATTCAGCCTGTTGAGAGCCATGGAAATCTCAGCACACACGGAGGAGGAAACAGTAACGTTCTTTCGTCTGCTGCTCTGAATACATCAGAACAAAATTACTCTACTATAATATAAATGTTTCTTACCTATTCATTTCTTCCAGGCAGTCAGTAGCAAAGTAGAAACTCTTAATTTTGGGGTGGCAAGCTTTGAAAGCACTGTGAGGAAAGCAGAAAGAGGGAAAAGATAACTGTCTTGAAGTTCAGAAGATATTTGGGGAGTTGAACTTTAACAGCAAGTTATCTAGGGAAACCGATATTCTGAGAATCCTGTGTTAAGTTCCCTTTGAATATGATGTCAAGTTCTTTCCCAGATTAGAACTTGACAAACAGATGAAGAAGAAGCCAGGACTTTAGCTCTTTGTCTTTAGGAATTTCATCTTGAGTCCCACCTCTCAGAGGATGCAGTGGATACCCTGCCCATAATATTAATTTATGTGGAATGGTACCATTTTTTCTTTTTGTATCCATGTGTACAGTAAATCTATGCCGACAATTAAAGGGTTTTTTTCTTTTTTAAAAAGGAAAACAATCTAAGAGATGCATCCTTTCCGGCAATTTTATTGAAATTACCATGCAGTTTGCATCTCCCTGGTCACATGCTTCAGGTAACAGACACAGCCCAGGTTCAGTGCAATGCCCCAAACACAGCCTGTGATGTCCTGTGCCCCGCTGGGATGTGTTGTTAATAGGCATTTGATAGTTAACCTTTTTTCTTGGGGATTGTGATCAGGTGTATGTGGGTTGGAGGAGGCGAGGGAGGCTTCTGTCTGTAGCTTTTAGAATTTGCCCATTATTATTTTTAACACTTGTTTTTAATCTTATGCATATTTTGCAGGGTAAGATGCCTTGAGACTTTTTATCAGGTGTCTAATAAATGATATAAATGCTAACGGTGATGATAGGATTGCAGTCTTAAAGTTCACAAAATAAAGAACTCCTACTAGAAGTAAAAGTATGAGAGAGGAACTAAGCAATGAAACTAGCATCTGCCACTCTCCACCTCCCCTCGTTGAACAAAGGATATTTTAGCAGGGCTCTTTTTGTTCCTAGCTCAAAGTCCAGGATGCGTCACTGACTAATTCCTTTTTCATAACACTCTCTTATTAAATGCCTTAGGATGGCATTCAACGAACTGGTTTCCTGAATTTTCATTATAAACTCATCAGACCAGGTCACTGCCAGCTTTACATGTAACACCCTCCAACGTGTGACCTTTTAGGAAATGAACTGGAAAACCCTTTCAAAGCAGCCACTTGCTGTTCGCACAGCAAAGTTTTTTGGTTCCTCCCGCCCCCTCCACCTCTCTAGCTTACATTCCCTGGCACGACATCTCTCTGATGGCATTTGCAGGTAGGGGACAGAACTAAAAAGCTATGTCTGAGTCGTTGGTCCTCACTGGTGAGTGAGCTGAAAAATGGCTCACTAGAGAATTGGCTTTGTAGGAATGCAAAAGCAAGAGCTACATGGATAGGTGTGACAAGGATGGGGTGATATTCTAAATAAATGAGTTTGGAGCCCAGGTTTCTGTTTCTTTAAGCATTTTGCCAATCACAGGCATTTTGCCAAGACTGATGCATTTCAAAGTGGCAGGGATTTACAAAGCAATGGAGATGCCACTGTGATGGAATTAGAAGAGTAAATGAGCAGCTAGCTGATGTTCTGATCTCTGTCCTTCGAAGCTAGCCAAGAAAAGGCACCCCAGCCTTGTCATTGTGTCCTCGGCCATCAAAGAGACCTTCGTCCTACTGACATTTTCTTCTTCATACAGCTTTTGCCGCACAGCGCATGCTTCCCCAATCCAGATATATCCCACAAGTCCTCCCTGTGGTGAAGTGGGCTTACTTGAATAAGACTGGCAACATGAAAGGCAGCCTGCGTGTGAGCACACAACTCAATGGCACTTTCTTTTGAAGCCAACCAATAATAGCTTCCTAAGGACTATTATTGGCTTTTCCTCATTATTTGCTTAGTGTCAGGATGTGCTGCAAGGAGATGGCCCACACAAAAGAAGAACAGGTCTCCAGAAAGTGTAGGAAACCAGGAATCGGCACTTGCATCAAATGACTTGTTGATTTGCATTTTAGATACAAGGAAGGGCTCCTCTGAGCTTCTTTCCCATGTCTGAAGAGGTGTTCC